CAACAGTGTGTTTATAGCATTCTGTAACACTGTCATTTTTTTTTTGAATTTTTGAATTTATTTATTTGAGGTATGCTAATGAATTTTATATAAGTTTGAGATTGAAATTCAATAAGAACTTTACTAAAAATATGAACATTAGGGTGACTTTTATAAAATAAATTTTTTAGATGGCTATGAAAGGATTCACAAGTATTTGTTGTTCGATTTAAATTTTCACTTTGATTAGCACACAAAAAATGAGGAGGAAAATCTGTGCCAATTTTAACAGGTATGAAAATAAAACTGGCGGAGTTTATATATACCTATTACAGGTAAGAAATAAAAGAGTTTACAATCGCCCATATTGGCATATTTACGTTTTATATATAAACAATTGAACATATGATGAAATAATACATTTAAGGGAATTAGTAAAATCACACTCGAGCAGATACTGTACATACGAGGTTATAACATTCTGATAAATACATACCTATCTATAGGTACTATATTTATCTAGGATACAATCTAAGCTTACAACCAATAATAAATGTTAAAACATATATATATTTCTTAATCAAACTAAATATGTTCAAATCATCATCATCGCACAAAGGGTAAACAGTAAACATATACCTAACACCTATATTATACATAAAATTTTACTATTTAATACAATTTAATAGAATCAATACTGATTAATGGAGTTGAAAGATATATAACTAGTGAATAATGGAATACAAATATAAGTGTAAAAATCGAATGTGAATTCTACATAATAATGTATCGCAATATGGTATACGAAATAACATATACATAATATAATATAAGCAGTCCATTATGTTATAGTAAATATCTATACAAAATAATGATTAATTATACACAATTTTTAATTTATCACACTAAACATCTAAAAATCCAATTTGTATTTTCATACTATTAAAATATAATTCAAATTTCAAACATTAATATTAAACAATATTTTCATTTTTTTTTTTTTTACCTCGATTATGGATGTGATATACACGAAATGAAACTAAAATTATTGATTAGTAAAAGTTATTAGMCCTGATCATTTTTTACTGAATAATGCTATTATTATTTATTTTTATGCTGGACAATAAAATATGAAAAACTGCATGTAAGCTTAGTAATTAATGAAAGGGGTCAATGTATTGTAATTTATTGAACAGGCCGTGTATAATAATAATTTCATCCTGTAGATATATAACATAAATATATTAATATGTATACTTATAGCTAAAAAAACAATTTTAAACCTTGGCCCTAAAAAATCATATTTTATATACAATTAAAAAAAATTCAGCTATTTATACAAGATAAAACTTAAATCTAATTAATTTAAAATATCATACATTTATCTATAGATACTAGATAGTGACAAATTGTTATTAAATTTAAAATAAGGTATTTTAAAACTTGGTTTATTTTTTATCCCATATATATATGTTTATGTCCTAGATCCATTAACAGAAACATATAAGTATACAACTTTTATATAATATTATATCATTGCCGAATGAATAGTTCAGAGATATTTCGGTACTAAAAAACGTTTTTATTTCCCACGAGTCTACCAAATACCATTCTTCAGTATAAACAAAATTGCCTTTCACGTCGAAATTGAACGAGAAAATATATATATGCACTAATGGCCGAAAAAATTATATATATACTTATTTTCATATATCCAAAATGCAAACATATTTTGGTATATACAAATAATTGATTTACTTATATAGGTAATATCTATTTTAGTTCTCATTTGCAATTCACATATTTTTTTTTTTTATTAGTCAAAGTACATCGACAACTAGGCCATTAGTAAAAGAAATTTTTTTGTTATATTTTTAGTATTTTAAGTATAAATGTTCTACATTAAATTAAATTATACAATTCTGTTTTTTTAAAGAATAAAATTAAGTTTTTTACATCCTGTGGGTTTGGTGCAAGTGCTTGACAGATTTGTTCGGATATGTGAAATTGATTTCGATACTGGTTGTATTTTTGACATTCAGTGATAATGTGGTTGACGGTTAAAAGTACGCTGCATGACTCACTTAGTGGAGGATCGTCTTTACTCATCAAGTAATTCACATATTATATAGGTACAAATTGTTTTATTTAGAACTCTATACTAAATAAAAATCATTCACAAATCCGTTAGGAGTAGTCGTAGACGAAATTAATTACGAACGTGCTACAACTGTTGGCTGATTCATATTGTATAGTAAGCTAAGAAAATGGTTTTAGCCAGTTTTAGATTTCGCTTCTCTCGAGGGAATGACTTACAACTGGACTAAGGCCGAATAGAACAGATACTATACTTGGATAAAAACTTTTCATCAGTTTTTCTATACTTTTTAAAGCCCCCTCTCTCTCTCTTTCTCTTTTAARTCTTAATTTACGTTGTGATTCTTTTATGTGGCCACAATCTCATGGGAATGACCCTCAGGGACGTGACAAACGAGATTCAGAATTGTCTTCCTAGTCTTCTGGCAGTAAATTTTCTGATCCTGAATAACTTATCACAGTACTAAGCAATATCAATTTTCCGTTAAACTTCCATAAATTAACACCATAATACAAGAAAAAATTTCATGATCAAACAGAATACTCAGACATTTTTTCTTTAACTTTCCAACTATTTGATGTAAAGTAAAAACAATTATTGAAAGTAGTAATATATTATATATGCATAAATTAAAAAATAAACTTTGCTAAGCTTATAACAAGTAATAATTAGATCTGGATTCTGTAATAAGTACCTAATAATAACCAAGCTCAGAGCTTAGAACTATGCAGTTTTAAATAGTAAATCATATTAACCACTTTCCAATTTAGCATTAATAACCCACTCAATTATCCTGATTAAAACGCAAAATATATTCATGTATAAAGTTCGAATGACACGTATGTATCACATATTTGTTCGAATGTTATTTAATATATGCAATTTGAATTCACCGAAAATATCGTTAGTATGATATTTTTCAGTATAACGTGTATCTTACTGGCTGTGCACAATTCTGTATTACTGCAATAACAAATAATTACTATCCTCCCAGTATACACACGTATATTGTTATATACAAGTGTTATGTTTACAAACGTAAAATATCATAAGCGTTCAAATATTTATATTACATTTTAATGGGGTTCACTTTTTTTATTATTAGGGAGCAGTTTATGGAATCGCAAACGTATCCAGAAACAAATTAAAGCTTTTTAGAAAATTCATCAAAATAATTAAATGTTCAGTTGGTTCGCGAAATGTACCAACCTATAATACATAATAAAAAAAATCTAAATTGGATACCATATAAAATTAATTGGTCTAGGAAAAACATACGCGTTGACGCGGCAGTGCTCAATAATCGCATTATACACCGAAGGATTTTGATCTTCAAAATAATTAACAGCTCTTCTAGATTTACTCGGGTGCTCCTTAATTGAATCATACCCGAACAGTTCTGATTGGTCCACAGTTATTATACATACACACAGTGGTACTCTTAATGACGCCGTGCAGGCGCAAAATGTTGGGATTCATGAATCATGTTGACGTTTCAATGCAAAATGGCAGCAAAAAGCAATAAAAACGTTACCCATCTTTAACATAAATTTACGAAAATTATTACACGAAATACAAAAACGAAAATTGAGAAGTCACAAGAGCGTGAAATAGATAAATCTATGAGGTAAAGAATGTAAGAAGTCAGACATGGGTATAGACTGTATACAAGGGTTTTTATTGGCAGCCTCCAAGAAATATGGTATTATTCGTAAGACCGAAGCAGGTAGACGTATAATTCCCGCGGGATTTTGAGGGAGATGGCGTAGAGGAAGTTTTTCATGCCCAAGGCCATTAGTGAATCACACTGGGGACTTCTAAAAACGAAACTTTTCGCCCTTGGAATTATTACTACTGCAGTGAATCCTGAATGGTCGTTCGTTTATTGTTACTTTAAAAAAAAGTTAAAGCTTACCATTTATTTACATTTTAGTTTTAATTCTACAACAGAAGAATATACTTTCAGCTTTATTTTATATTCAGTATATTGGCAAATTATATAATACGCAGTCCGCAGTGTTAATTAACTGTTTAATTTATAATACCTATAAACTATGGCAATACATATTTCTTTAGTTATTTACAAAAGTTATAAACTTTTCAAAACACTTTGCTCGTTTTTAAGCTACCTATAGGTAAAGATAAAGGTAAGTAGATATAATTACATTTTATAGAATTTCAACTTTGTTAGCTTGACATCTGAATATACAAGTTTATTCATACACTATTCAAGAAGGTTAATTATGATCGTATAATTTTCTAAATATTCTTTCCATTACAATATTTATCATTAATTCCCTTTTATAAACGTTTAAAGTTTTGATAAGTAGTTGTCAGTTGATCTAAATTGTTGGGGTATTTTGAGTTGTAATATTGTAATAGTAAAAGTATAATTTATTAGTTACGTATAAACGTTTAAAGTTTTGAAAACGAGTAGGTGAATAGATATATTATATTCTTATTTTAAACGATGATACTAGGCATTACATTTAAATTTATTCGAATACTTAAAATAAATTTATAATTTTAATTATTAAAACTAAATAGTTTAAACTATTGTAAAAGGTAATTCACTGCATAATATGCATTATTTCCATTTTCCGTACATTTTAAATTTGCGTAGGCACTAGTAAATTATTTTTATGTACACGTAAACATTTTTTTTGAAAATTTATATTTTTAAACACTATGATGTACGCTCTGCTCGATAGTTTTTTTTTTTTTTTTAACTTTATATATTAATAGATAATAAAACAGAAGACCACTACGCTGACAACAGCGGCGGCGCTGAGATAATTGAAGACAGTGATGAGTAGGATTGCGATGCCCAATTTCTAAGCTAAGTATTAAAATAATTTTGTAGGTATATCTTTTAGATAAAATTTAAAAAGTGCATCGCAAATCACAATAATATTATACTTACGAGACTCGGCCGTGACGATGACGTTATTATGCCGAATACGACTCCGGGCCACGATGAAATTTTCTTTAGACGATGACTGTTTCTAGTCGGAAATCGGTATTTGTAAGACATACAGTGGTCGACACGATAGACGTATCGAGTGACGTCACGACTAAAGATTATTTTTAAATGTTGTCGGACATCAGCGCCGCCGATCCGACACGATGATTTCTTACACCGGATATCGGAAAACCGTTGTAGCCCTCGTGTGAGCAGGGTCGTGGAGCCCGATAGATTTCACATGGTAACAAAAACAACAATAATAATAATAATACGATTTGTATTGGCGTAGCGGGGAAATCGCGGGAAAAACGATTACGGTCGCACTGGTGCGAAGACGAACTACGCGCGAACGTGCCGAAAAACGGTAAACGGGGTCGAGTGAGTTTCCCGGACGGTAGCACGACACTGACTGCGTGCGCGCTCGCGGTTTTTCGCCCGCTGGGAAAAACCCTCAATAGGGGCCGTCGTGTTCCGACGCAGCGCGCCGTAAGTTATTTCCGACGCGCCCGCATGCATACATGTGTGTGTGTATACGTATGTACAAGTCGCGCGACGCGTGTTCCGCTGGTCGTTACGTGTGTATTAATCATTAAAATATGGGATGACCACCCCCAGCCAGTAATAATAATTATTATTAATGTAAATGATTTAATACCATATTATTATGTTTCTAACATTTTTCAGTTCGATGTCTAAATCGCGGTTTTTCCACTTTTCAGATTTTATATCTCAGATCTCAGACCACGTCGAGTAACACTCGAATCCAAGTGTCATTGGTACGAATTCTGACGTTATTGTATACATTATATTACTGTCGTCTGCCAACTGTTTTATTCACAATACTATACTATTATAATTTTAAACGCAATACAAACGTCTTTTAAGCGAATGATTTGAAGCGAATAACGGTCGTACCATGCACGTAGCCGCAGTATTGCAAAATAATTATTGTGTGGATGTTCGTATAGGTATATATGGTGATACGACGTGTTCATAATATAATAATAATCTCTAATATGCAGGGACATGGTATTAATCCGGGCTAAACCTATAATGAACTGCAAAGAAAATGCCCGAAAAATTATAGTTTAATTACATTATAGTGACGTACTGACATGCAAAACATTTTTTAGACGCCTATTATAATTACTATATATTTTATAAATATCTAAAGTTTAGAAAAGCTGAATGTATAGTTTAGTATTTACAATTATGAGCTATAGCTGTTATATATATTACAACTTACAATATTAAATCGACGTTTTCTGAATTATATTATGCTTAGGAGTATAAAACTAATAAATGCTATAGGTGGGTTTCCAAGTTTAAAAAAAAAGATACCCAAACATGAATTTGGACATTGTATACATTTGTCAATTCACGTTATAACAATCACTCTGTATAAATCCCTAGATTGCAGTACTATAAATAATAATAATAAGTCTTCGACGAATCACGAGAGAGGAAAATGCGAAAACCCCATTATATATATATTATATACCTTTGGATAGTTTTTCCTCTCCCTAAGATTTCCCTGACGACAAATAAGTAAATAACACAGTACTACGATAACAGCTATTTTATATATATATATATGCAAGTGACCTACGTGGTAACTTATTCGAGCAACAGTGCACGGGCTATTATATGCGGTTATCTGACGGAGATAAGTATATATTTTACTTCCAAGTTATACAATCTTTGTTGAATTCCCCTATTTTGCGGAAATCCACGTGTCTTCTTTTCGATAACTATACATCGCTGCATGGCTGAATTGTACCTATAGATGCAAATTCCTCGAGGGACATCATTTTTTGGATCAAATTGCCAATCACAATTGAAATCACTGCCTATTTCAATATCCCATATACAAACGAACAACATACAAAATTTGCGTTTAACAAGAACATGTTATAAGTGCAATTTTGTATTATTGACTTTAATAATTAAAGTATATTATTTGGGTTTGTACTTTGATTATTTACAATGTTTCAATTTTTAATCAAATTATAACCATTGACTATGAGTAGACATGTAGAATATTACAGTTTAAAAATCTACTAATTTTTTTAATATTCAAACAAATTTCCAATAATATTAGGTTATAGTTTTATTTTGTAGTGCATAAATTATATTTAATATAAATTAAAAGTAAATATTCAATAATATTTGTGTAAAATTTCTGTAATTGAAACTTTTCACCCAACTTTCTTCAAAATAAGGAATAAATTTGCGTCTGCAGGTTGAGAACTCCAAATCCTTTGCAGTTATCAGAATAATTTGTTTAAAGGAAAGTTTAACTTATATGCCTTTAAATTCCAGCTCATGCCCATGTAATTGGCGATTACCTATTTATTGTAGATATGCATATGTATACCTTCAACTGAAGTCAGAACAGCTACCATGGATAATTGAAAAACTTCACGCAATCAGCCCTTGAAAACTTTTACGTGATGTCAAGAGGATATTAAAGTCATTCTACAAAGCTACACTTAGGTATATTAATAAGGGTCAATTCAATGTTATTTATGAACAATAATGAATCGTTATCGTTTTAATTTGCACTTCAAATGAAAATGAAAATGAATGAAATTATGTTTATTTAATTATTATTAGGTAGTAGGTACGTACAATACACTATTAAGGCCATAAAACAAATAATACTACCTATACCAAGCGGCTATATACGAGTAGTACCATGTGTAATAACGCAAAAATAAAAGAAAAGAAAT